AAATATCTTGCAGAGCTTTTGTCATGTTCTATGATTCTATTTAAATCAATTTTATCAATAATACGTGAGGGGAGAGTCTACGGTACCGTCTGGTCAAACAACGGTACCGTACCAAAAATATGGTGGGGTCATAAATTTTTTAGCATTTAATATTATTTAAATGTGTGATTGTAAATTTTTTGTCATTAAATATTACTCTTTAAAATGATAACTTTGCCTATAAATATAGTAGCATTACCTTAAAGGTTATAACTCACCTCAAATATTTGTAATCTCAGCCGCCATTTTTTTGTAATATTTTTATTTGTACTATTTGTAACCTAACTTTAAATACTTGTAACCTTACTTTTAATTGTAGTAATCTTATCTAACATTTAATTGTTGTAACCTAGCCTTTAAAAGTTATAACCTCACTTTCAAATATAGTACTTTTCCTTTTAATTATTGTAACCTTACATAACCTTTAATACCTAACAATTAATTGTTATAACCTAACCTTTTAAGAGTTTGTACCTCACATTTAAAGTTCAAATTTATAAATTTAAAATTCATAAAAGTAACATTAATTTAAAATTTATAAAATTAAAATTCATAAAATTCAAATTAATTTAAATTCATTAAATTAAAATTCATAAAATTAACATTAAATTAAAATTCATAAAATTAAAATTAAGTTAAAATTCATAAAATTTACATTAAATTAAAATTCATAAAATTAACATTAAATTAAAATTCTTAAAATGTAACCTTACTACTTTTAATGTCCATTTATACATTAAATATTAAGATCTATCGTACATAATTTCGATCGAACATATATTTAAGATAGATCGCAAATAATTAAGATCAATCATACAATTCACTATTTTTCTCTCCTTAATTCCAATGTATATCCTTTTAGGATCGATCATTATTATATATGATAATAATAAAAAAAGTATATCCCACTAAGGTTGTAACAAAAAAAAAAAAAATATATATATATATATATATATATATATATATATATATATATATATATATATATTTAATTTGATCAATCATGTTACTGTATGATTGATCTTAATTATCCTTTCTTATAACCTCACCCCTAAAGGTTACTACTTTCCCAATGACAGGAGTAAGTTTACCTCAATGCATTCTGACAATACTAACCTAACCTAACCTAACCCCAATATCAACATGTACTAACATTTCATCATGTACTACCCTTACATCAATTTGTTGTAACTTTACTACAAAATATTTTAACATCACCCCTAAATATTACAACATTACCTCTCCAAGTAGTAACCTGACAACAATTTATTATAACCTCACTTATAACAATTACATATTTGTCACATACATGAGTAATTTTACTTTTATGCATTGAAAGTGTTCCTTTTTAGTCGATAAACTTACATTTTTTTTCAATTGGTAACTTTAATAAACATTGTACTCCTACCTATAAGCGTAGTAACCTTACCTCTTTATGTTATAACCTCACTCCTAAATGTTACCTCTTTGCCACTAACATCCATAATTTAACCTTTATGCATTATAACTCTCCCTAAATAGTGGATAAAATTACCTTTCAATGGGTAACTTAACCTAACTAGGTGATAATCTTATTTTTAATATTGTCATCTTCCCTATAGAAATTGTAACATTACATCAACATGTAGTAACCTTTCATCAAAATGTTATAACCTCACTCATAACGATTTACATCTTTGCCACTGATTGGAGTAATTTCACTATTATTTGTAATAATTTTCCCTCTATTATTGATAACCTTACCAATTAATGGATAACTTATCTCACGTCACCTGTAAACCTACAAACAAATGTTGTAATATTTTTACAAAATTGTAACCTTACTTTTAATGTCCATAATATTAAATCTTAAGGGAAAAAAAAATTTAAAATCTTAAGATCGATCTTACTTAATGTCGATAGAACACATACCTAAGTTCAATCGTAAATAATTAAGATCGATCATACTATTCATTATTTTGATCTCAAGAATTCAATGTATATAACATTAGGATCGATCTTTATTGTGTATGATCGATCTCATTTCCTTATTTCTCCTATAGGGAAGACGCTCCCCCTAGTAAGGTTGTAACATAAGTACAAAGAAAAAAAATTAGATCGATTATGTAAATATACGATCGATCTTAATTATCATTTTATTCATCGGCTAAGCAAGTTATAAGTTTACATCCAAAAAAGAAAAAGAAAATTAAATCAACAGATCAATGGTTGTACAATAATGAGCAAAACATGAATTTTAATTTAATGTTAATTTTATGAATTTTATTTTAATGTTAATTTTATGAATTTTAATTTAATTTTAGTTTTATGAATTGTAATTTAATGTTAATTTTATGAATTTAATTTAATTTAATTTTAATTTTATGAATTTTAATTTAATTTTAATTTTATGAATTATAAATTTAATTTTAAATTTTAAATTTTGAACTTTAAATGTGAGGTACAACTCTTAAATGTTAGGTTACAACAATTAAAGATTAGGTAAGGTTACAATAATTAAAAATAAAATTACTATTTTTAAAGTGAGATTATATTTCTTAAAGGTTAGGTTACAATAATTAAAGATTAAATAAGGTTACCACAACTAAAAGTAAGATTACAAGTATTTAAAGTTATGTTATAAGTAGTAAAGATAAAAATACCACAAAAAAAAAAAGGCAGCTGAGATTACAAGTATTTGAGGTGAGTTACAACTTTTTAGTATTAGTATTTGAGGTAAGTTACAATTTTTTAAGGTATTATTTTATAGGTAAAGTTATCTCTATTAAAGAGTAATATTTAATGATAAAACATTAATAATCACACATTTAAATAATATTAAATACCGAAACATTTGTGGCCATTTCTGTACGGTACCGCTGTTTGAAAGTGATGGCCCACATTTGTCAGGGATGTGACATGATTAGTGTCTTGAAAAAAAACATGGAAAACGCACAACCACAGAGGCAAAATTGGTCAGTGCTGAGACACGTTTGGTCTATTTTGCCACCTTCTTCTAGTCTTTTGCAGACCACCATTGCAAATGAAGGGTGCTGCGATGCCCTTTCCAGTCTCTAGTTAATGAGAATTAAGTGGTGCTCATTTTGAGGGCACGCCACCGGACTTTTCTACCTACAAAACCTTAAAAGAAAGAGCTGTAGAATACCACAATTATGGGCTCTAAGTTCTCCTCTCAAATAAGTTTCAAAATACTTATTTACCCAAAAAAAAAAAAAAAGATTTCGGAATAATGAAGTGCCGGCCCTTACCATTTTATTTACTTTTTAATCTAATAAAAAAATAACATAGGGTCAAGTTTAAAGACCAACTATGTTACAAGTTCAAAGGCCCAACTTTAAGAGGTCCAGTTAGCCAAGTCCAAAGGAGTTTGCATCTGGTCAAACTCATCAGGTTTCAGGAGTTACATCAGTACAGGAGCACGCATGATCGTCTAAGAGTTCATCCAAGAGCCTTTTCTACTACCTTGGAGTAATGGTCATCTAAAAGCCTCCTTGCCACCTTAGAGTAAGGGAGCATCTAGAAGCCTCACCCTTGCCGCTCAAAAAAAGTCAACCTTTTCTCATATTTTGACCAAGTCTTTTGGAAAATATTATAACTTTCTTGCCCGTTGAGGAGAGGAGAGGTCGTCAAACTATTTAATTACCGTTAAAGTCACCACAATCCATTATGACTATTAAACAGTCTCAATCCGTTATAACCACTAGACTAGTTATTCAATTACTACACTAAGTTATTATAAATTATAAGTCCTATAAACACTTGGGGCCATCTCACTCATTTTGAGCATAATTCTCTCCTCCTCTCTAAAAGTTTGTAACTTTTTGCTCTCCCACTGTACCGGAGTTAAAAAAATTCCGACAACCCTTGTCATTCCAAGTAGATGTAGGTCATCTTGACCGAATCACTATAAACTTGGTCTTTTCTTTTTCTACTTTATTGCGTTTTATTTTACTTAATTGACAGGTGGTATGCAAACCAATTTTGTACATCATTAGTTTGTGCGCCGTCTGTGGGAACCGACAAAGTTCTCACGTAAACACTTTCTTTGCTGAATCAAAGGTGATTACTGTCGGAACCCTTAAGTCAACCTGAAGACATTCCACCACGAGAAGAGGAGGTTGCTCCTCCACCTGCCAATCCCATCCCAAATGCGCAACAAATGTTGGACACAATGCAACAGCTTATAGTCCAGAATTAACAAATTCTGCAATTAATGCTCGGGCAATAAGGAGAAGCGCAACCTGGACTTCAAGCAAAGGGAGCTCCACTCCCAGGTCATCAAGGAGCTCCTCACCTCGGTGTTCCCCATCTAGGTGCCCCTTTGGGCGTCCCACCTATGAGGGCTCCCTTAGGCGCCCCACACAAGAGGGCGCATCATGAGGGACCTCCTCCTCCTCCTCCTCCAGCCCTTGCACCTACTCTTCATGGTGAAGACCCTCTTTTTTAAGAGGATGAGTGTGAAAATCAAAACATAGAGCATGAGAGTCATGTCTGTGATAATTTTAAGGTACCTCCCCCCAATCACTGAGACGAAAAAATTAAAGAGGTGCAAAATCAATTAGGTGACGTCTTCAACGCCATAAAGGCACAATGACCCGAGATAGTGGATTATCTCCTAAGTCAAACTGAGACACTTTTCAAATCTGACGTGACAAACTACCCGCTCAGAATTCATAACCATAAATATTGGAAACATACAATTTTGTATCCATTTTTTTTTGAGTGCCAAATAATATGTTTATAAAATAGCTCAAAATACATTACAATACGTCATATTGCCTATGGCAAGGCTACATTTAGTTCTATATAAATTTTCACATTATTTTAATAGAGATTACAAGATGTATAAAAACACCATTACCGTCTTAAAATTACATGAAGAAAATGCTCTCAGTATCTTTCTTTCATACAATATTACTTTTACTTCAAAATATTTTCAACCACCAAATATAGCCAGCTCTTTAGTTGTTCTTTGCAGAGATTTTGAATTGAAAGCCATTGGGAAACTTTAAAATAGGGGCTCGCACAAATTTGACATCCTTCACTTTTGTCCATCTACAAAAAAAAAAATCACAATTGTTATTTCTCAGAATAAAATGAAAAAATATGTGCGTGAAAATTTTTCATTGTCATAGTAATCAACCGATTTACACGAAAAAATAAGAAAATAATATGTGCATGAGAATAAATCTTGAACATGATTAAATTACCTGTATTTGCTGACCAAGGTGTGAAGGAAAGTTGACAATAACACCCTAGAATATTCTGCTCCTGCGCATTGCTTCAAACCGAACCCAAACGGCATGAAACTTTTGGTTATAAAAGTTGATTGCAGCTCCTATATTTCATGTGACACAAAACAAACACAAGAAAACGAAAGTTAGATACCATGAGTTTGTTTTTAATTTACTGTTCATGATAAAAATTTAATTTGTACCTTCCAGCGCCATGGGTTGAATGTTAGTGGATCCTCATATTTGGTGGAGTTCAAGTGCACAGCAGGAGCAGCAATTAATATTGGCCACCCGGCAGGAATTGTATATCCTACAAATATATTATTGTTGGTCAACATCGTGTAATGATCATAAGATACATATATGGCTAATTTCCTATGACTATGTACCTTTGAATTGGATATCTTCAGTTGCTTTGCGAAATAGTCCCGGAGAAATGTTTGCCAACCTAAGAGTTTCATTGATTACCTGTAACGAGTAGATCAACTCTCACATGAGCATAAGCGAGTATAGCGTTTAACAAAAAAAAAGATTATATTGAGATTGTGAAATTGACCTGAAGTGTGAAAGTCATTGATTTATAGTCGCTCCATGTGAGTGGGGAATCGGGGTTCTCTTTGTTTTTGAGGATAGCTTCATGCTCAGCCTGAGAAATGAACAAACATGGTATAACCATATGATTAAAACTCTAGTTCTATTTTAAAAGTGTTACCCAAAATGAAAAACAAAACATCAGGAAAAAAAAAAACAAGAAACACTATACATACAATTAATTCCTGTAATGCCAAAGGATGCTCGTGAAGTAATGTGACTGCCAATGCCAATGTTGTTGATAGGGAATCAGAAAAGACGAAGATAAGACTGTACATTAGTTGAACTATGAATTCTTCTGTCAGGAACTTCTCATTATCCGCTTCTTTCATGATGTGATCGAGCAGGTCTCCACGATGAGAATCAGGTGACATACGTCTCTCTTTTAATTCGACCCTCATCATATCCAGTACTTTTTATGATTCTAATAAAAATTTAAGAGTCAACGAATGCAACGCTTGTCGAAAATTAATTTCTTTGAGCACAAATAAAATTTATTACCTTTATGCACTTGTGGTACATAGTTCCAGGGATGTTCAAAGGAAAGGACATGAGTCCTTGTATCAAGTCCTTAAACAATTCGCTTATTTGCTCTGGCGATTTTTCGGGATTATAGCTAAACAATTGTTGTGCACCAAAATCTATACTCACCTGCGGGGTGAAATTTAGAAATGTTAGTATCATATCTAGCATGTTAGTATAGTTTTCTTAGCGAGCACGTGCATAAGTTAGATATTTACTGTTGCAGCCTCGCTTTTCACATCAATCGATTCCTTGCTTGCCCACTTGACAAGAGTTTTCTTAGCCAATACTTCAATCTGAGGAAGCAACCTATCTTTGAGGCTCTCCATGCCGAACCAACGCAAAGCGGTATTTCTCACATATTTATGGATGTGAGCAGTATCTGGTTTAATCTCTCCAGATTGTGCAAAAACTTTAGCAAATGCATCCAAGTACCACGATTCCACTAACTTCCCATCTCGTTGCATAATGAAATAGTTGAATTCAGGGTCTGTCGTTACAATGAGAGAGCGACCTGCCACATTTGTTCGAAAAACTGGCCCATATCTGACATTTCAATAGAAAAAATGCATATTAGTCAAGCTGTAAAGCTTTCCTCCAAAAACTCGGAGAAGAGTTCTCTATATCAACTATTGCAAGTTATTTTCATCAAATACAACATCTCCCATACATGTGCCGCTATAATACTGGAAAAAATCATAAATACACATGAATAATTAGAAAACGTATCCAGAATTTGTTAGAAACATAAAATTGGTGCGCTTTTCATGTAGCTCGGAACCCAGTACTTGAAACAGTCGTTCATGTACCTCTCTCTCTCTCTCTCCCTCCCTCTTCGAAATGAAAAAAACACTGAAAACAAGCACCAGAGGAATACATGTAATAACTAATGAGTCATGATTACTTGGAACAGACTAAACTAAGTTGTATTACCTTGCAATTCTCTTTTTGATGAAGGGGTGAAGAGCAAGCGAGTTGCTGGGAATGATCAAAGAAAGGGTCTCCCCAATGAAAGGAAGGCCCATGGAACCAGGAGGGAGGACTCCATTTTTGCACTTTGGGTTCCTCCATTTGTAGATCCAGTGAGTGACACAGATGACAAGCAGTGCTGCTACCACGCACAACACGGCCGACAACATCTTCGATTTCTCGTTCCGGGTGTACAGACACCAAAATTGGGTTTATACAACGAGAAGAAGAAGAGGAAGTGCAATGGTGGAACAAAGAGGGCAAGGTGTATGTGGTGGTGTACAAGAAAGTATTGTTCTTCCTTTTATAGACTCCTGCGAGTGCTGATCACTGGACAGAAAGAGACCACCATTAGGTGGTTGTCTCTGACTAAGGGTGTAGCATCAATTTGTACCCTATAAGAATGAAACACGTGTATATCACCCTTATTTTGACAAATCAATAGATGAATATATTTTTTCATCTTAATATATTATAGTATTTTATGCATAAGTTTATTTGCATGTATCAACCCACATGTGCATATGGCATAATCGGTCAGATTTGATGGCCTCTGGAACTGGTATAATAATTTTTTATCAAAACAAAACATCGAGAATAGTTCTCTTTATTATATATATATAATTTTAGATGTTGAATTATTGATGATGAATTAAAAGTAGTTTATAATTTATTATTTTATATAAAATTTACACATATTATGCTTTGTTTGGTGAAAAATAAAAAATTATTGTACTAATTTTTTTTTTCTACAGTCAACAAATGTGTGCGGCTGTTTTTAATCCTTTTTCTTATGTCATGATATTGAATTTCTGCACTTTCGTATTACGTCATTTTTCTTAACTTCATTCCTCTTTTGTCCTTGCTAGTATAGATTTTAAAAATTAATAAAAAGGAAACGTCAAAACTGACCACATAGATTTTTAAAATGACCGTCGACAAAGGGCTTATTTTTAATTTCTCTGATATATGTTTTATGGTCTATTTAGTTAAAAAGATAAAAAAAAATAAGATGAACAAAAAAATAGAAATATATATATTTTTTTATTTGATATATTAGATGAAAAGATAGAAAGATTAATTTTTTATTATTTAATATCAAAAAAAATAGAAAGAAAGAAAGAAAATTCCTCTGCTTAACATTCAGGAGAGGTGTGCAGTGTCAACAGCATGGACATAAAGGTAATTATAGCACCCTCACTCTCTTGTCTCACATTTTCTTCCCACTTCTTCGCCACAAAAAAGGGGCGGAATTTTTGTGTGGACATAATAGATGCTCGTTTCATCCATGTTTTTTCTTTTCATTCATCTGTCCTTTGTTACTACCGAACAGTGAAAAATCATTCATCCTCTCCTATTTTTCACCCAACATTTTTATCCACTCAATTTACCATCAAACCAAACAAAGGATTAGGCTGCTATGGTTTCACTATTCTACTTGTTCTATCTGGTCCTTGAGCTTTTAATTTGTATCTTAGATGACCAACTCGATGACGTATGTTGAAAGTAATTGACAGAAGAGACATCACAAGAAAATAAGGTTTTTTAGTCTTGACTTTTTTGCAATACTCTATTTTTTGCGTTAGGATAAGATGTCGAAGTAAAAAAAAATTAGTATTTACTTCGGCAAGAGACCCGAAGTAAAAAAATATGAGTACTTACTTCAGGATTGAGTAGAAGCAAAAAGTTTAATTTAAAATGATGTAATTTTATGTTAATTTATCACTAACAGATCTTTGATATAATAATACTCCTTATCTTGTCAAAATTTTATCTTCTTGAGGTCAAGGTTTAAGTCCCTCCCCCTACCCTCCCAAATTTATTTTTTTTTTATTTAATTTTTCACAAAATGATGTCATTTTAAACCCTAAAAATCCAACCTCTCTTTCCCTCCCCCTTTACATTTTCCTCTTCCTCATTTCTCCATTTTCTTCCCTATGTCGCCTCCCTCCGTCTTTCTCAATCGGCCACATGATCCCCTCCACAGGCAGCATAGCACCCCACCTCCTTCCTCCGGCGAAGTACCCGAGGTCTCTTGCTCTAAATTTCATCGGAGTAATGTTATTGGGTCTTTATTGGGGGCTTACAATTTCAAAACTTAAAAGTATATTAGCCATCAATATTACTATTTGGACCTAATTTTTTAGACACAATCCATCACTGTCCATTAGTTGAAAGTGAGTCCTAATTAACATTGAGGTGTATTGTCACTCTAATGATAATGATTCATTAAATTAACAAATTTGTCAATAAATTAAGTCAAAGTTACATTGCTACTCAACCGTTGGATTAAAGTGTAGTATATTAGAAAAGGGTTGCTATGTACTCCCAACTTAACTTGCCTCTTTTTGGTCTTTTCTTCTTATGTCAAGATGTTGAATTTCTGGACCTATGCTTTCGACACACTCTCGCAGCACCTCCTTTTTCTTAGCTGCATTCCTCTTTTATTCGTTGCTAGTAATAACAAGTAATAGAAAAAGAGACTTCAAAACTGACTATAGAGATTTTAGAACTGACCGTTGACAAAGGAGTACATAGATTTTTTCCTCCCCTGAGTAAATTTGTGTCTCACATTGGTTTCTCTATTCTACTTGTTCTATTTGGTGTCTAATCTGTGTCTTAGATGATCAACTCAATGCCGTATTTTCAAGCTAAAAACAAGAAAAATATCACACAACATTTGACTAAATACACACCCGTTTCCTTAACTTGTTAGAATTATTACTTTGATCCTGGAACTATTAATTTCTATCGCTTCTTTTAGAAATTTTACTTAAAACTTAAATTCAACTTAAAACCATTAGGCTTGCGCTGATAAAAAAAAATGATAATGGACCCAATAGAGTGGTATTTCATGTATATTTTAGAAGAGTAAAAATTTATTTGAGCTATACATCAAGGTATGTTTAGAATTAGTTTAACCATAAAATTACATGTTTTACAAATTTGAAAGGACATAAATTGAAAAAAGAGTAATGTTATGTTTACTAAAACATTTACTAAAAAATATTTTTATCAAATGAATTTACAACTCTATATCCAATCAAAATGTTTTTTTTTTCAACATTTGGTGGGTCCAAGAATGATATAGAGCTGTCAACTCATTTGATAAAAATATTTTGGGCTAATCTCACTTTATACACTGAAAGATACTTCAATTTTTAATTTCCACCCTTAATGTTTTGAATTGGTAACAATGTGGACTTTGCCAAGATTGTTGTTCAATTTTTTGTCATAAATTAAAATAAATAAATTGTAATTGTTTCGGGCATGAGAATAAGGTGTGTTTATCGCTGCAAATCTTTGTCTACGATCAATTTGACAAAGTTTTACATATTAAAAATAAGGTTTCGTTATTCAAATAGTGGTTAAGTCTCATATGCAACTTACATGAATTGTCAATAGTCTATGAATTTATACATAAGCCTATGACCGAAACACTTGTATCTTACGTGCTTCAATTTATGGCAAAAAAATAAACGGCAGTATGAACGAGGTATACATTGCTACCAATTTCAAACATTAAAGGTAAAAATTAAAATTTTTAATGTTTGAGAATCAAAATATCTTTTGAGGAACAAAGTGACATTAGCCTAAATATTTTTTAGCAAACCTTTTAGCATGGACAGCATTTCCTTGGTCAAATACGTCAGCTTGTGGAATTTTTTAAAGGTAGCATTTAACACGGCACGACTGTGATTACTATAAAAGCAAAATAAAAGTTGCTATTTTTCGCATTTTTTATTGAGCCAAACCTTTGAAATTGGTCACCAGGTTAATAATGCTATGTAGATCAAATTTGAGATTTTAATGATATTTTAAATCAAAAAAGACTATTAATTAGTGAATCTCGTGCTAAAAAGTTAATAAGACTCGCTCATCCAATAGTCTCTGTTTATTTGAAATACCATTTAAAATTCAAATTTGAGTTAGATATCCTTCTATAATTTTGTGATGTAAGTTCCTAATGCCAGTAAACAACCGCCGCTATAGAAAATGGAAAGGTCAAGAAAGAAATTCCAGCATTCTTTGGGAATTGTAGTATTTTATTTGATATGCGTGGATCATGACTTAAAATGGTATTGGAATTTTAGTTTACTTATTTAATTATTTATTTTTATTTTTACTAGATTGATTTGTCAATTTGAGGACATCGATTTAAAAAACTAAATAAATAAATAAAACCAATTAGTTCAACAAGGAATAGTTTTGGAGTAGTAGGAAAGCTTTTTTCATTGTGACTCGAACCTCAAGGGATCGAAAAGATAAAATAACATCTCTAAATACAATCAAGATTGTATGCTCAAATGCGGCCCTTTTTGAATCTGTTAATAAGAGTCGAGTAGAATGAAAGAATGGATTTGCAATCTCTGTATTCAGTCAAGTCTCCTACGGTGGGGGCTTTTAACTTAGACTGAACTTGGTCCAAGGTGTCGTGCTTAGACGTCAAAACAAACTGCAGCTATGTTGTGCTATTCCTTGGTAGAATCCAAAGGATTTGGATGCTCTTCTTTTCTGATTTAGTCAATTCGTTCTTTTGGTTTTTGAGGTGAGAGAAAATTGCTTTACTGACTTAATTTCAAAACTCATTACCGAATACTAATCTCGAATATATACAACATGCCAGTGTTGTAGAAGATTTTTACGTAATGTCACTCATAATCTCATATATTATAATTTGAATAAAACTCTCTTGAGTCATTTCAAAAAATAAATTACTAATCTTGAATATATACAATTACGGGACTTGAACAAGTATGTACAAATTTATATCTCATCATTTGGTTGATCAAGTAACTAAATCGTGTGGATTCAAATTTCAGAAAGAAAAGAAAATCTTCTATTCATAATATGTTCAATTTTGACAGGGTTTTAGGCGGCTATCTGAGATTAATCAAATTGAAATTGACATCACAAAATTAAACAAGTATCAAAGTCGAAGGGGGCTCCTATGTTAATTTTTCCAAATATTAGTTGTTTAGGAATTAAAAATAAAAACCAGTTTAGTGCACATGATGATTTCTATCGCTATAGGATCTAATATTGACAAATTTATCCTCTTATATAGAGAGATTATTTTCACAATTAATAAACAACTTTATTATGCGTTAAGGCCTTCATTTCACCTAAGAATTTTGAAACAAATGTGTTGAATTGTTTCATTTATTCT